CCTCTCTGATACACTTTATTGGGTCTAATAGAGCCGAATTATGGTGTATCGAGTAAAGCGGGGTTGATCTGGACTAGTGTTGTCTAGACGACTTGCGCTTAAAAGCCGCTCTTTTCATTCAACAATTGCTTTGCATGCAAAACAAAACAGTCACCGCGAATTAACCCGCCAATTGTATAGCCAATTCCTCTCCTCTCCCTTTCCGTTCATAAAGTTAGTATACTAGTAATTTTATCATACTTTGTATCAAAGTGAATTGAAAATAAATTGAATCTTATTTCAAGCGAGATTGCTCTGATTTTATCATATAAATCATAATACGCCGCATATAATATGTGTAATATATAATTTATCACGCGATTATATGTATCTTGAGTAGATAATGATATTTTATTTTATTACATTAGTCTTTCTAAAGAGTTTTCTTGTTTTTTTCATCTATATTACAGTGGATATACAATATAATATATAATATTATAATATATTATTATATAATACAAATAACAAGTGAATTTCTACAAGAACATCTAAAAGAACAAAAGTACCTAAAAATTTAGGTAGATACAAATATAAAAATAATTTTGTTGAACCATCCAAAAATTATATAAAAAATTCAAACATAATGAGCAATGCTGCAAAAAGTCTTTATAAATTCTAAAAGAATAAGAATTGGGAAAATTTGACATTTAACAACCAATTCGAGTATCCTTCATAATTATTTAATTATTTTAATAATTCAACAAAATTACTTTCAGATCTGTATCTAGCTAAATTTTTAAATACTTCATAAAATTGTATATATTCCGCGTAATTTTATTTCTTTTTTTAATGGAAGACATATATTCGTGAAAAGAACGCCGCTAACCGAGAATAGAGAGAACTTTCCATCACATCTACTGGAAGGAATTAACATTGCTCGTTCTTCAGTGCGAGCCATTGTGGAAAGACTGAAAAGGTCGGAATCGGGCGCGAGATCGGGAGCGGAGAATCTGCGAGAATTATCGTTTTGGGGGCGCGACGCGCCCCCAGCGAGCAGATCCAGAGCACAGGCATGCATCGCGTTATGAGACGATAGCACAGATCCGTGGCACGTTCAGTTGGAAACTCAATGGCGGTTACAGGTTACCTAGAACTTCCTGCGGAAATGGCCAATATACACCTCCGACCTCCAACTCGCTCGGCCGATCGCGCGAGCGCGAACTCACTCGAAACTCACGCGGTTGTACGGGTTGTAGTTTGTACCCCATACTCGTGTATATACGATCGCCCTACCTCTCGCTCGACACGCACTTGTTACGGCTCATCATCGTGATCTATGCGCCTACAACAAACGCTATATCCTTAATCCGTTCTAGTTGGCTCGGTCCTACCGCGCGTGCTGGAAGAAAAAGCTAGTTAAATAACTTGGAGAGCTAACTTGGAGATCTCCGTTGCTTTTCATTGAGAAACTTTCCTTCAAACTTTCGATTCAGTTATAAGAGAGAGAATCTTCCAATGTATATATTCGACGTGTGAGCGACGAAATTTGATAATTCAAATAACCATTTATTTGATGTTTCTCAACAGAACTTTCTTTGATAAAAAAATCTCATTAAAGCCTTCAGACGATATGGCCAATAACCCTGGTAGCAAGTTGACGACAAAATGACGTAGCTTGCTACCAGGGATATACGCCGACTTTGCACACATTCGCTAAATATTGGTCTACATTCAATATAGATAATTCATATACGTGTCGCATTCTAAATCTGTTCTGTGAAAATAAATTAATATTTATTATCATAGAACTTTTCTAACGTGAGAGACTTTCTGAGATTACTCAGATTACTGAGAGAGATCTTTTAATTCTGTTAGCATCGCAGTGTAGACAAATAATACATATTTCTGTACGCGATATATGACGTACTTAGACCAAGAATTCGCACATGTTCCGTCTGTGACGAAGTCAAGCAACGGCCAAGACATTAACACATTAAAACATATCTAAGCTGGAGTTTTTTATATGACCGGCTTGCGTTTATACCGCATAGTTTTCCTCATTAGTCGCAATCTGTACATACGAAAATTATAATTATTATCTTACCTTTGCGTCTCTGTATGTTCCGTTCCGTTACATCTAGGATTCGGTATTTCTGAAAATATGATGTTTGTTAAAAATCATCGATTTAAAAAATATATCATTCAATGTGATGGAACTTACGTTCTCGAAAAATGTTCACTAGAATTGTTTCTACAAATAGAAATGGCATTAGCAGAGGCATATTAACTGAAAAAGAGAATATTTCAAGTGATATGAGGGTAAATAAAAAGATCTGGTTAACAAAATTGTAAAATTTCGAAACAGGTCTTTTATTTTCTGTTTCTTCTGCTTTTATATGTATCAAATTCATGCAGAAAAGTCTTTGAACGACGAATACAAGTTAAGAATTGAATCGATCTGATCGTAACTTCTTCGGGTCATCGTGAAGAAAGAAGCGTTACAGCTAACAATGGCACTACAAATGCTGTGACTGGCTCTCGTTGTTCGCTGCAGATTTAATCTGTCAAAATGAATCACCATTTTGATGAGCTCACGGCTAACAAACATGTTCACAAAGAATAACAGTATATAAAGAGCTAAAGGGTTCGCAGAAGCACAAGACTGAACCTAAATTTACCGGCAATTACCGACAATTAATTTTTTTCTCTTTAGGCACTTTTAAATAAGATTAACAAATGTTCCCATTTTCCGGAGATAGTCCCAGGAATTTTTACGTGCTATTGATAGTAATTTAAAGAATGACAAATATTAAAAATGTTTTTAATATTAAATTTTGGTTTACTGGTTTACAGAGATTGAAATAACATATAATATTAATTTTAAGTATGGATTATTTTTAATTAAAAAAAGATATCTAAAATCTGGCCCCGCGTGGATTTAGTAAAAAAAAATATTAGGTGTTGGAATTAATTCGTAGCGTTTTACAAGTGATGGGAAGTACTTTCATTAATGTATTTTTTAATGCTCATGTGAAATAAATAACATTCTTTCATTAAAAAACGCTACGAATTAATTCCAACACCTAATATATACAGAAAGGTCGATTTTGTTAAAGTATTTAAATATTTAGCTAAATATAAATCTGAAAATGATTCGTTGGATCAATAATTATGTAGAACGCTCAAACTTGTTAAAATATCAAAACTTTTTGCAACATTGCTCATCATGTTTGAAATTTCTTTTCATGTACTTTGATGGTCCAACAAAATTGTTTTTTAGATTTGTATTTAACTAAATTTTTGGGATATTTTTTTAAGCAAAATTCTTTCCATAAGGTAAATCTTATGTCAAAAGTGATGAATAAAAATAAAATATTATTTTGTTAATACAAAAATAAAGATTCTTATTATATTCTAGAATTTTTTAAAAATATTTCTTAGTACTGTACTATACGAGAACCGCAAACTTTAATGATTATTTCTCTTCGAAGAGGACAGCTTTGTTTTAACTTGAGATTCCTTTCAGGGTTGAAAGGATATCATTAACAAGTCCTAGGCGGCAAAGGTACACAAATTTGGAGCGATGCATTCTTCTTCGCTTCTTCGAAGGGTCTACACGAAAAAATTTCGTTTGATGTTTGTGTTCAAATGTACTTTGTATCGATGTGAGAACTAACTAAACTAAATTAGAACTAAGTAAAAAATCAAAGTTGCTTAAATTTTCATCGAGTACTTAATGGGAATATCCATAGCGTTAAATGTTATTTTAAAATATTATTGCTCTGCAGTTTGCAACTGAATATTTGAAAAAGCTTTTCTAGAGAAAAATGTACTTTTTTATGATTTTTATAATCATCTAGTTATAAAAGAAACATATTTATTTATCTCAAATCAAAAGAAGAAATAGTTTTTAATATTTGTTAAAAGTTATTTCTGTTATTGGATTAATCATTCATATTCATTTAATTTACATTCACATATTTAAGGATTTGCTGAAATATATGAAATAAAAAAATAAAAAAATAAGTAAAATATGGATTTTAAGATTTAATTTTTGATCTGTACTTGGCAATCTTTTTAAAGCTGATTTAAAGTCACTTTTCATGAAAGTATGAAAATTTTACAGAAGATCCAGGTTTAAATTCCAGTTGAGATAATATTTTGCACAATAAATTATTTACAGTTTTTAATATTCTTACATTAACATTAAATTATTAATATTTTTATGTGATGTCTGTTAGCATCAATATTATTAAATTGTTTATCAATTTAATATGTGATATTACTATTATAGTCATAATTCTGTTCATGATTGCATTTCAAGACTGATGAAAAAGATTTCGACGTGCGAATTGGATATTTGCTGAATTGAATATGTATATAAATTTACACTGAAATATTTAAGCACCAAGATCTGCTTTAATCAAAAATAGGAATACATAATTAAATTTATGCTCTGACTTAATTAAAAATATTTTTATTGGTCCAATTTTATTTTAAAATTCAAAATATAACACTTTCACTCCAAACTTTTACTCCAAAAGAGTGAAATCTTCAAAATCTCACTCCTAAAGAGTGAAAATCTGTCACTCTTCAAGAGTGAAAACATTTTCACTCTTTTTTCAAGACTGGCTTCAATTTTCAGTCTTTTGGAGTGAGATTTAACTCTAAAAGATTTAGAGATTAAGCATCTCGAGATCCCCAAAGATAACTATCGGCGGCTAGCTAGCGGCACGTGCGAATGGATGAATGAAAGTTTACGAGGATAGTAAGAAGAGGTCAATCTGTCAATTGACCAGCCAGTCAGTAGTCGGTACCGCACGAATAGACGGATCTCTTCGGATCGTTCCTCCCTTGAACTGCCGGCACCTACACAGAGATACGCGTTCTGAGCGCGGAGTATACCTTCACCAAGAAGAATTGGCCGCAACCGGAGTGCACGGCAGATAAGGGTGCTCACGGCGTGGTGGGGGATGGTTGACTCTGGAGTGGCTATTCGGAGTCAGTTGCTCTTATGCTCGCCAACCAACGTGACCGCGTTGCGCGCCGCTCGACTCAAACCGCGTGACGCGAACGCAACAGATCGTATCCAGCAACGAACAGCGGATTCCGAAACGTGCAATAAAAAACGATTGTGATAAAATCACGGATTTCGCAAAACGAGACATCTGACGAAGATCTGCGCGAAGTTGATAGTAAAAGTTGTCCTCGAAAAGCAAAGAGAGTGACGGAGAACCCTGAGAGTTCTGCGCGGTATCGTGAAGAATGCAAGGTTTGATTTTGGGTACAGAGAACATTTCGCAGTGCTAAAATCGATCAAAGTGGACTTTGTGCCTGGTATCACGAAGACGCAGCTCTTCGATCGACACAATTTTACTCGAGCGAGAACGTTCGTTGCCCGCCTCTTATCGCTTCGCCGGTCGAACATTGAAAGAAACTGCGGAAGAGGACTGATCATATTAGCGTGCATTACTGCCTTGTGCAACCGGATACACACGCGTCGCCCCGCGTCATCGGTTCCCGTCGAAAGAGAAAAACACCGCGATTATTTGCCTATCAGCAATTCCGTAATTTGATCGTGAGAAGCATCGCGAGGAAAAACCTAAGAGAATAACATCCGAAGATAAATATTTGTGCCTCATGAAACGGGCGCGTAGAAAACGCGATAAAAAAACACCTTTTTCTTCTCACGAAAAGAATTAATACTCTGGAAAGAAAATCTCGTTACATTAATTAGAATTCTGATAGGTTCAAAAGATTAAAAAGATACAAATCCAACATTGATAATTAAATCTGTCCAACATTCTAGTCGAGATAACCCGAAGTTCAATTACAGAACCAGAATTTTGTTTCATATAATCGGAATTTGTACTTTTTGTTGGTACAACCAGAACAATTTTCTTAGTGTGGTGACGTCTGTGTATTCATCAAATAAACGAATTCTATTGTCATTCAAATAATCCATAAGCAACGTCGAGTTATCTGCGATAACTGCGCAACGTGCGCTCCCCGGGACGCCTGGCGTCGCCCCGCCATTTTTCTCCGGATATTTAGCGGAAGTGGCCAATCTGATCGCAACTCCGACGCACTTGCTGATGCGATCGCTCAGCACGTGATCTCCACGGCACGTGACGTAACGACGACAGGCGTCGCGACGCGTCTCGAGCAATCATCGTCGAGGGACCATGTGGAGGCATCGTTTCGATTAACGCATTCAAGAGTCATCAAGAAGATTAAGAGGAGCGATGATTATCGGCAGCTGAAACGCTGATAGAAAAACGAGCGGAAGCTGATCGTGTGCAAGGATTTAAGGGGGGGAGGGGGTTATTATGTTAGCAACAGGATGTTTTCTGCTGAAGGTGCTGGTGCTGGCAGCAACGGTTATCGCGCTCCTGCCAGAGGATCTGGAGGATCGCGTTCCGGTCAGTCTTCAGGAGGAATGCGCTTCGAAATGCCCGGACTTAGATCTCACGCAGGTAAGAAATCTCCCCCTGTGATAAAAAGGGATTGATATTGAAGTAAGTTGATACAGTCAAACTAAACAATCGATACCTTCGTAATCGAAGAATGTTGAAAGCTTTTACGTGTCGAGAGGAAAAATAATGTTTAGGAAGAGCATTATCTCCCCATTAGCATTATTTCCCTTCTGGGAAATATTAGATACCTGTTGATATGCTATCCTTAATTCTGTTGTTTCATTTATTGCTATGTAAAATGTTGAGGAATGTTACAAACAAATTGCGACTTATTTCAATGTGGGATATATCTACCTTTGCTGAGAAACGAGACGATACTTTTTTGTGCAAGTAAAATGAGAACTGATAATAAGTATTTTGGAAATGAGGTGATAGTTTATTTATTCGACTCCAGTGTACATCGAAAATAATGGATAGCCTATAATTTGTAAAATTGTACAGTTACGAGCTGATTACGATGTTTTTGATGTACGGAATTTTTCGTTGCGTTCATCAATGTTGTTTACGAATACCTTTAATCACATCGTACTGTCTTATTGTAAAAACGCGCGTTAGATTTCTTGAGACATAATTTTGTTAATTCGGACAGATACAATATTAATAATAATGCAACATTATAAGTACAAGACGTGCTAAATATAACTGACTAATTATATTACTTAAAAAAATATTTTAAATATTATACATATATATGCTTATATTTTTATTTATTAATATAATTTTTTACTGATAAATTAATATAATTTATTTATTTATCATAAATAATATATAATAATAAATAAAAATTATTTTCTATTAATATAGAAATATTATAAAAAAATTTAATCTTATTAATTCTGCAAGTTAAGTAAAATGATTTCAAACTCTTCCGTTTATATTCTTTGAAAAACACAGAATTAATTTTTTTTTTAACAAAAATATAAATTTCATTGCTATTATCATAAATAAGCTGTTAATTTTGTAAATATTTTCTCGATAAACGTATAACGACGATTTGCGTATTCAAACTTTCGCGTCGAATGCGGGTATTGTCGTTGACGTGACGTGTTAATTAATGAGGAATATTTAAAGATCATAGTGTTGTTCGCGATTCTTGAAATCTATGTCGATGAGTTGATTTGTCGTTTCGGCGACCTAGTTACATTCTTTGGCGATGCAATGCACGTAAACGTATCCTTGTAGTCATGACTCAGTTTTTCCCTTCGAATTGTCAATTTGTCAGAAACGCAAGAAAATCATGTACTTACTTCGAATAGACGTGCTTAGGTTTGATAGGAATTCAATTTCCATTCGTTCAAATACCAGGAGTATCGCAATGCTGTCCGCCATTTTTAGCAAAAGCGTAGATACTTTGCGGCATTGACAACCGATTGCGATAATCAAATAGAAATATTAACAAAACAACAAATATATTAATACAAATAATATGCACATAAAAATACATAAGATCAAATTTATTTTAAAATTAATTTTTTAGCCACGCTGTTAAAAATTAAAGAATTAGATTTAAACCGATTCCTTAAAATAACATTTTGTTATTTTTGATTTCTAAATGAATTAAAAAGTATTATTTTAATACAAAATGTATGTAATTTAAAAAACCACATCTAATTAATCCATTTCTGTAGTTGAATTACTTAATTTCAAACAGCGTTCTTATTAATGCGCATGTGCACTTAGTAAATAAACTAAATGTCAGCCAAATTAATTCTTGAGTTAAATTGTTTAAATCCATTAAGGATATATTGAGTAAGAACAGTGGCAATTTAAAGGGTTAAAAATAATTCAAAGAAAAGGTATAAAACGTTATGATTTAACAATGTAGCGTTTCTACTTTCTGCACTCTTTCGGACATTGATATTTATTATTGAAAATGAAATAATGATGCCAAAAGGTGTTCAGGATGAAAAGAGTAGTATCGATGCATTTTGATAGCGCAAGCATCCCCAGCTGCGAACGCCGAGCGTCGGCGGCACGAAAATGGCTGTGCGCGAGCGGCGAAGGACGTATCAATTTAAGTCCACTCTCCAGCTCGACTGTACCATTCATTAATTAACTTAACTACACGGCGGCGCATTATGGCAGCCCATAAGCATAGCGTCGAGGATGAAAGACGAGCACGTAACGGATACAGGGCCATCTAATCCCTTTCTTACGGAGAAGGACGAAAACGTCGTTCTTTTGCGCGCCGCCTTCGCCGACTCAGATTATTGTTCATTACATGAATTATGACTGATCGCATGTCGTATCGCACACCATAATATATATTCTATTAGATCTGAATTTTTGAAGTTTATAATATAATATATTTTATTTTTCTGTGTGATCGGAATTTTTAGAATTTATATTTCATTATTTTTTCCAACAAATATAATCTTATTAATTTATATAGTATATGTTATGAAAACGTCAATAAAAAGCACGAATAAAATTTTTAAAACTTTTTGTATGCACACTTCGTACATTTTTTTGTATTGTCTTTAGTTTCTGGGATTGAAAATGTCGAAAAAAACTTTATTTCTATAAAATAAAAATTGTACACGCTTAAATTTCGCAAAGATATATATTTATAGCACAATCAGCGTTACTTTTACTTTTTTATTTTCAAGCAGCAAAATAAACTGATCCATTGCGACAGCGTGCGAAAGACCTCGGCATGAAAAAGGTTTTAATCAATGCGTTTGACAATTGACGAGAACGGAATTGGTACCAATTATCAATTTAACTCTCCTCAAAAAGTGCACCGCCGACGTGCCTTCTGGTATCAGATCATTGCTCAAGTTTGTGTGCAATCTGGATGTTTCTTCTCATTTAGGTATCATCCTCACAAATCAATATAATATCAAATAAGATAATAATTTTTTAAATGATCAATTATTATTAGGGAAAGGGGTATAAAAACCGTTATAAATTTCAATTTAAGAAATTAATTCTTATTAATAATTTAATTCCTGTCACATACACACACACACACACACACACACACACACACACACATCGTGCTTTGTAGTGTGACATCGATTATCGTAACTATGTCTATAGATAGCTTATTCATAGTAAATAGTCCCCTAAATAAATTTTGATTATCACAATCAGATCGCATATAACTATATTGATATAGTCGACATATCAAAGTAAATAAGTCATGTCAATCATGCACCTATCACACAAAGATAATTACGATATTATTCATAATTAAATATTTCTGATTGTGTAAACCATATCTTTCTTTTCATTAATTTTTAATTATTTTAGTCATTAAATTTACTGCAATTTTATATATTACAATACTCTATTTCTCGCAATGAATAGATGCCGCGCACAGACTGGTGATGAATTAATTTTTACTAATTAGCTTATGACAGTTGTGCGATATTGTAAGTCATCGAACTCTCGCAACCCTTCCTTGCCCGCGCGTTAACGAATCAATTATCCCGCCGCCGCCATAGATAAAGGGAGAAGCGTGGTCTAGAAAAAAAAATCACTTTCTTCGATCTCTTATCTATAATGTATAACTCATTCTCTCTTACTAATCGTCTCTCCCGATCCTTTATTTTTAAATGATCAAAAGAAAATGATTAAAAGAAAGAGAGCATAATCGCATAATAACAATTTTAATCGAATACTTCTTTCTACAGGTAAAACGATGGTTGTAATAATTTATAGATTCTAATCATGATTCTTATAATTCTCATTAATAAAAGATAATTAGTGCGCAGTTTGCATGAATAGAGAAATTATATAATTAAAAGCAACAATATTATTAGACACCAAGATCAACCTTTATCGAATATGGCTCTTTGAACTTATTGCATTAAATTTTAAATTTGAAAGATCAATTTTAAAAGGTATGTAAACCGGAACAAATTTACTCCTTTAAAAAAATCAACTTAAAATAAATTTTGTATGCAATTTAAGTTATCAAACGTTTAACCTCTGTGATAAATATGGATAAATATAGCTTTTAATTATACAATATGCTATATACCTTATTGCTTATATTGATTATGTTACTATTACAAAATCTTTAATTTCATCGATGTGTTTTTGTACAAGAAATTTTGAGATTATAGGGAAAACTTTTCTTGTTTAAGAAGAGAATTTTATTTAGAAAGTAAGTTTACATGCGATTTATGTCGAAAAATATTGTTAATCTAAAATATTTAGCAGTCTCATCTAGACTAAAAATGGTACAAAAAATGGTGCCCTCGTATTATTTACTAAACACGCAAGGATAGTAAAGTTATCTCTCAGGGTGATGCTTAGAAGATAACCTTAAGCTTGCATAACATATCCAAAGAACATCTTCATTTCTTGATCGTCGACCCTGACGTTCTAATCTTGAATCAGTACTATAATTCTTAATACTTAATGTAATAAATAATTTCTCGATATTGCTCAAGATATATGATTTTTCTAATACATCGGCTTTAAATATGTTATAATATCAATACAGGTAACTGATCAAAAGAAAAGTTATATCAACAAAAATTGCCATACGCCATGAAAAAGATTTTAAATTATGTAATATTAATATTTAAAATATTATAATAATATTTAAAATTAATTAATTATCAATAGTGATTTTATAGAACTGTAATTATAAAATTATATATTTAAATATTAAATACACGATTTGATTAAAGAGGATTATATAAAAAATTAAAATATACATTATAAAAAAACATTTTTAGAAAAATGATTATAGTCGAATATTTAAAAAATATTATAATGCCAAGAACAATTTAAATTAATACTATAATTAATTATTAATACCCAAAAAATCGTCTAAATAATAATATGATGTATTTATTTTTTTTAATTATTGCGTATTTATATATTTACATACTTATTTACACTTATTACGTATACTTATTTACACACTAATTGCGTACATTAGATCAACATACATTATAACAGCATTCTTGTAAGAAACAATTTTATCACATAGTTATGTGTAAATATCGGATTTTTATGCAATTTCATATTTTTTTAGAAAG